TTCTAGATCATCACTCTTTGGTAAGTTGTTATCATACTTAAGTATTTGATTTCATCCTTAAGCTAAGAACACTCTCTTATGAAGCTTCATTTCGTGATCTAACACCCTAAAAACCATCCAAGTCCGAAAACTACTTCAAGGTGTTGCTAGGACCAAAAATCTCTTCATTTCTTCTTCAAAACCGAAACATCAAAGCAAAGGTGAGTTCATAACCCCTTGTTTTTGGTTTTCATATGATTTTTGGGGGAGAATGCAAGTAAAATGTGTAGATCTATGTGTTATATGCATGTTTTGTGTGAATTCTTAGTTTGTTTAGTAATAATGGGTTAGATCTTAGCAAATCTCGAAACTTTAAACAAAGATCTATGAACTATGACATGATATACATTAAAATAACAAGCCAAAAGTGAATACATGTTTAAGATGTAAAAGAATTCAACAAAAACCTTGTTAAAGGTCAAAATTGTCAAGAAAACAAAAGATAAGGGTAAAAAGTGAAAATTATGTTTTTAAAGGGGCCAAACAGGTCCTACATGTATAAAAAGGTATTTTTATGCTAAACATACTTTTAGAAGGGCCAAAATGCAAATTTTAGCCTAATGGGCCAAAACTTTTGGGCCTCACGGTTTGGGCCCAATTTGCGAAAAAAATGAGTTTTGGGGTTAAAAATTTTATTTGGCCAAATATTGAGTCATAATTGTAAATAAACCAAATTTAGAGGTGAAAATATCATTTATTTTCAAATTGGACCAAAAATGTAAAGTTTTCCAAAAATCGGGCCGAAAGTGTAAACTTTTACAAACAAGGGGCAGAAAATGTATTTTTCTGCAAAACAGGGTTCTAAATGTAAAAATATAACATTTTGGGTTAAAACCGTAAATTTATAGACATTTGGGACAAAATTGCAAACTTTATAAATTATGGACTAAAGTGTCATTTTTACAAAACTTTAGGCCTAATTTAAAATTTTGAGAATTGTTGGCCAAAAAACGTCGTTTTTACAAAAAGAGGATTTTTATCACCAATCTATTGAACTTCAAGTCAAAACAAACAACGGAATAAAACAAAACGAACGAAATACAGCAATAACTATTTATTAGGCCTAATATACATGTTACTTGGCCATTGGACCCTAAGGACCCAATTAAGTGTATATTGAGCCCAATGTTTTCCATGATGTGTTTATTGGGTCTTGCGACCCATTTACATGTTAATTTGGGCCTAAGTATTGGATTACATGTTATTGGGCTTTTGTGACCCATTTACATGCCTATTGGGCCTAAATTACCCTCTTACATGTTATTGGGCCTTTGTGGCTTAACTACATGCTAATGGGGCTTGGAATGGAAATTTCACATGTTAATAGACCGTAACTATACCTTTGCGAAATCATTAAATGTCGAATACTTTTATATGTACCTTTCGAATACAAAAACATACCACATATACGTAAACGTTAAACATAGAACAAAAAGGGTTAAGAATCTAGTGAGACATGTCGGTTGGCACCTCTGAGTGTACAATCGTAGCCTGTAGTTATAATCAGAGTTTCCTGGTAGGAAAGCGGGAGTTTGTGTATAGATCTATACGGGGTGACCCCCCACGCCTTAGCTGTTCGCTACAGCTAGAGTAGGCCAGTCTAGGGCGACAACATCCTTAGCAAGACCGGCATTTGGAAAAATACCAAGACGGGCGACCTAGTCATTATCATGCATGATTATAACGGCTCATATAGGGATTCAATACCAAAAGATAACCTTTTGAAGATAAATTCTTTAATTGTGTCAATGCAAAACGACTTATCTAACGATACAAAAATCTAAACGATTTTATAAAACAGAAAATATCGGATTTTCTGGGGAGATTATTCATATACAATTATCATTTATCCAAAATACAATGAACCTAAAACTACACTCATACAAGTTTTAACGATGAAATTCACACATGCATTTATGCTCGATTTTCACATCATTTTCAAAACATTTTACAGAAAATATCGGATTTTCTGGGTTTTTATGAAAGATACAAAGACTTTTACTCAAATATACTTATGAACTCACCAACATTATATATGTTGACCATTTTCAAAATAACTTGTATTCTCAGGTAATCGTTAAGCTGGAAGATATGCAAGTGTGTATGGTTTTGTTTATGTAATATCACTTATCGTACTTTGAACAATTAGAACTTATGTATTTTAACAATGTACTTGATGTGAACAATGCTGGTTGTATTATGTAATGTTGGTGATGAATGTGTTATGTTTCATGTATATTCATTGTGATGATTATTCAATTGTTAGTCACACGAGCCCTCGGACGTTTCCGCCGTCTAGTTCGGGGGTGTGACATATTATAATATTAAAAGATTAATAATTATACATATGTATAAGATAAGCTACTCTTACCGTTAGTAGGCCTCATTCACGAAGTCGATCTATAAGGGGGTATAATGTTACTGCCTATAATATGGTGGTTTAATGGGTATCCACTCTCACCCACCGATTCCTTGATTGGTGGAGGTCGTTAGCCGAACGGGTAGGATAGGGCAACCAATTCCTCATTAATAAGTATAATGATTACATAAAGTAACTAAATGTTTTTATAAATTCCCAATCTTAGTTACTTTAGGAAAAATGTGAAAATGTATGCTATTCCATGAAATTACACTTTGCACCTTGCCAAGTCGTTAGTGGAGCGTGTGTGGTTAACCGACACACTAATTTGGGACTAGCAAAGGTGGCAAAGGGTAAATTGATGTTTATCATAGATCAATGGAGCGTGTGTGGTTAATCGGCACATTGATTAGGTGGTAAATGACATCGAGAGTACCAAGTACATTTGCATGGTTGTTCACACCTTGTTTGTGATCCTTGGTATCCCAGTCACAAACTTGAAGGGCATAATCGAGATTTAAACATGCCATTGAAAAGTTCAATGAATCTCAAAAGAATCTAGGAATTTCAATTCATTTAAGACTTAAAATCTTTTTTCGTTTTTCATGGTGGAAATTGGTAAATCGTCATTTACCTACCTTCATATTATTTGCAATTAGATTACGACATCCCTCTTCTGAATTGTAAGTAATAATGTTGGGTTCTAGCCCTAATTTCTCATTTGGGTGTTTAATTGGGGATTATTATCTAATCTAAACTTTGTTCCTTTTCTATTTCAGATGTCTAGTCAAAACAACAACGCTTCTGGCTCGACCCCTTCTGGATCATTCTCACTCATGAACTTGTGTGGGAGGGTGATATTTGATGGAACCAATTTCAATGATTGGATCCGCAACATACGCATGGTCACCCGCTACGAGGACAAAGAGTATGTTCTCGACAAGGAGCTGAAAGAGGTCAACATAAACACTGCTACTCCTGAGGAAATTATTGCGTACGAAACTCATGAGCGAGATGCTACGAAGGTTCATTGCATCATGCTCGCAACAATGACTGCTGAACTCCAAAAGTCCTACGAGGACTGCTATCCATACGAGATGCACCAAGATTTGATGGAAAGGTACCATCAAAGTGCCAGGCAGGAGAGGTATGAGATCATCGCCTCGATGATCACTACCAAAATGAAGGATGGAGAGTCCATCACGGCCCACTTGCAGAAAATACAGAGATTTTTGGACCGCTTGCTGAAGTTGTATGTCAACTTCGATGAGGAGTTGTCCATAGATATCATTCTTCAGTCGTTGCCTCCTTGTTACGACCGGTTTCGTATGACCTATCATACGAACAAGGAGGAGGTCACTCTGAGCAAGCTTCAAGGCCTGCTAAGGACTGCTGAGAGTAGTCTAAAAGGAAAATCTACTGCATCTACTCCTACTACTGTTGCCCATGTCTTGGCAATTGGGTAAGGGAAAGGAAAGAAGAGGAAGGCTCATCTAAGAGCCACAAGGGTAAACCCGATGATGGATCCTCTTCTAGTGGAACCAAAGTTGGTTCTGCTACCCCTGCTACCCCCTCTTCCAACCCAAAAGAAGCAGAGTGCTTCTACTGTCACGACAAAAGGCATTGGAAACAATGCTGCCCGAAGTATCTGCAGGACATCAAGGATGGGAAGATAAAGCCATCCTTCGAAGGTATTTATATTATTCAATATAACAACACATCACATGCTATTTCTTGGGTCCTTGATACAGGATGTGGTTTTCATATTTGTTCTGATTTGCAGGGTCTAAGAAGAAGTAGGGATGTGGAGCATGGGCAGATGAACCTGATCATGGGAAATAGGAAAGCGTCGCCTGTCACCAAGATTGGAGTTTACTCTTTAGTGCTTAGTAGTGGGTTAGGTTTCACTACTACAAAAACAACCTTTTACGATACGCAATGTGTGTCGTAAAACGCTCAGATGACACGCAAATGTGTGTCAAGGAAGGCCCTGTCATAACGAAAGACGACACGCTTTTGCACGTCGTCTATTTACGACACACATTTACGACACACATTGCGTGTCAAGGAAGGCCCTGTCATAAAGGAATATGACACGTATTTGCGTGTCAAAACCTTACGACGTGCATTTACGACTCGCATTGCGTATCATTAAAGCCCCTGTCAAGAAAGGGCATGTCATAAATGAAGATGACACACATTTTTTCGTATCGTAATTTTAAATGTTTAAAAAAATATTATTTATAGATTTACTAAATTTCAAATTAAATTTGTATTTAATGTCTCATAATATAAAATAAAAATATCATATACAAAAAATACAATCCATTGCATAAAATTTAATGTGATACAAATAATTGTTCCATGGAAAGATAAAACAAATCAATAGAAGTTGTAACAAAAATTTACAAACTAATTAGATACAAGAAATATGAAAAACTTGAAATCCCTGAGATTAACAGTTCTAACAAAAGCTTCGCATGAGAAACATTCAGTTGGACCAGTAAGCAAGGATGTTCCCGAACCGACAGTAGCAGCACAAGAACACGTACATGATATCTTCTGCTAGAATCCACAACTATAGTTTCAGCATTTCTCCTTCTTATTCTTCTTCTTCTTCGGAACTCATCTCTTGCAGCCATTGCTCTAAGCCTAGTCTGAATAGATACAACAGATCCTTGTAAATGCTTGTATGATTTTCTTCATGCACCTCCTTAAATACTTTAAAAGGACATGAAAAAGTTAACTACCAAGGGAAAACAGTGGCGAATCTAGCCCGCAAGTCAAGTGGGGTGATGTTGACCGTTGACCATTGACAATTGACCATTGTTGTGTATTAAAGTACAATTAATGTTGACTAGAAGAAAGAGAGAAAAGAAGTAAAAAAATACCAATCTTCGCCTTTATGAGCATCAAAATAAGCCCGTTTCTGAGTTGATATATATTCTGATTTGTATTCTTGCTACCTATAGAAAAAGAAGTCTTCAATAAGTATATGTCCCATTCCAGTGTTTCTACGCCTTCAAACAGAGTCAAAATGTATTATTTTAGTTTACGGCAACGTTATGTATAATACTTCTATAAGTCTTTTTTTTTGTAATATAATCAAATCAATTTCAAACCATATATATATATAGGGTAAGGGAGTCTGCAACTTTATCAACAAGTTGAGTTATTGAAGTATCATTGACATTGAGGGTGTTTTTGGTAAATTCACGCTCTTTTGACCTCTTTTCCTGCAAATCCTTCTCTCGTTCATCATAGAAACCATAATCATCTAAGATCGATGTCTCTGCATCATGATCTTTAAAGATTTTCAACATTGAAATCCCCACTTCTAGTTTCACCTACACAACAGTAGTTGAAAAAATTAGACCAATATCAAAAGACAAACACATTAAACATACATCCACAAAAGGGTATTTACGTCTTTTCCCACCTCTTGTGAATCTGTGCTATGAGTAAAAGGTTTTTTGTCATTATTTTCAAGAAGAATATGTCGGAATCGGCAATTTGGAACATCTTTGATGATGTGCCATTTGACACAGAATTGGCCACTCCACCTGTCATGTTGCCAATATTCTGCATCATTCACAAAATCTACGGGTCCCACCATTTCTGCAACTCCACATAACTGTCCACTTGCATTTACCTACATTCAAAAAATCATTCATAATATGAAGGAATGGAAAGGCATGGAATGGAATTCATGATTCTAGGGTTGAAAACTCACAGAAAAGAAGAGGAAGACTGGACAACTGACCCGTATCCGTATCCGTATTGATGTTGTGGAATATGGAAATTAAGTAAATAAAAATTTTCATTAGTTTATAATTAAATACATATGTTGATAAAGTAAAGGGTAAAAAGAATTAAAGAAGAAACAAACCTGACTAAAAATGTGTTCATATGACCCAAGAATACCAAGTGGTGCAGGGTATAAACCCCAGATGTGGCATGTTATGAGGTGGCATGCTATGTGGCAATGCAGTACCCTGTTGCTGTTGAGAATTCAAGAACAAGCATAGGTTCGGCTCCACATAGAGGCTGCAAAATACACAATACAAAAGTTTATAAAAAGAGTCAAGTATGTTTACATAATGATTAAAAAGTTAACAACTTACTTTGAGATATTCAATAATCATCTCAGGTTTGACAAAGTAAGAAATATAATTTATATTTTGCCCATAAATTCATGATAGCTATGTATTTACATTTCTTTACTCATCATAACAAATAATAACAACATAAAATTTCCCTTATCAATAGAGTAGATGATGTTCTTTATAAAATGATAACTAATGAATTATTTAAACAAGTTTTAAGGCATACCTCAATCCCCTCAACTGTTTCTCTATATCCACCCAATACATAGTCTTTTGTAAGTGTCTCCTCTAGGCAATTTACAGTTGGAGGGTGAAAGTCTGGTGATGGTAGCCTGACAACAGAAGGGTAAAAGAGTCAACAAAAAAAGTTAAAACATACAAATAATATAAAATGGTAAATAAGATTAAAAAGGTTACTTTGAACTCAGAGGTTCTTTCTCACACCTCAATTTGTATGGTGCAAGCTGTAAAGTACGCCTGGAAAATAATAATAAAGCAAAATTAACTCATTTCAATAATAAGAAGTTAAGAACATACTAAAAATAGTAATAAAAACATACCGATTTAATGTTTTTTATAAACAAAATGTCATTAACAATAATTCATACTCCTATACAATCACTGAAATGGAATATGTATTATATTCATTGTGTGTACATAATACTAGCATCATGTAAAATCCTCTGTATTATATATTCAAGAACAAGCATTGATATTGCTATTTGATATAATATAAATAATCACCTTTTACTCCAAGAGAAAGTATTCTTTAATTAAAGATGAATCTATAAAAGAGCATAATGATTGCTTCAATGATAGTGTTATCCTGCTTGTTTCACTTTTAACCTGAATGTATTTCAAAAAAGTACACATGTTATTATGTTAATAGAAACATATAAGATTCACTTCTACTTTCATAATATTTCCAAGAAACTACACTTACTTCAAGTATGTTACTACGAACATATTGTCCAATATAAAACACTTCAGAAAGATCAAATCTTTGGTCATCAACAGCTAGAACAATTCAGAATATGTGGTTACATAACCAAAAATATTAACAGAAATATATAAAAAAATTTATTAGCATAGACATGATTGATAATACCTTGTTTTTAGGAGCAAAACCAGTCAAACGCCCAATGAAGCGCACAAAACAACCAGTGTCGATGATGTTATAGATATACCCCTAAATCAAATGAGATAGTAAGTTGTTATATTCAAAAACAAACTACTGATGTATTTTCCCTTTTTCTACATATGACATGCTTAACAAAAAAAGTAAGAGAATCATACATGCACCACTAAATGTGGATAAACTTGATTGACATCTGCATGCAATTACTGAGTTGCATTAACAAGAGAATATTTTGCAGTTAGTATCAAGTTTTTGTTTCTCAACATCTGCAAAAAAAGACAAAATTTGTAAATGCAATATGAGATTAGTTTACATAAGCCAACTGATGCTACAAAAGAGAAGTTTTCCTTTATTTATACACATATGTAAACACTGAATATAGTCAATATACATACTTACCTAATACCAAAAGTTTTTCAAACTTGTATCCTGGCTTTAATACCGACTTCATCATAAAATCAAGCCCTAAAATTGACAAAATAAGTCAAATGATAAAAAGTATGATCTTGCTTAAGATACAGAGACCTTCATTGAGAACTCAAAATCTTACCATGGTTATCTGCCAGATGTTCAGGAGAAATCATGCCCTTGATGTAACCTTTAACATCAACATTAACTATCATTGCATGAGGAGTTACTCTTTCAACAGTACCTGATACAATACTCCCAAGTTTCACTGTATCATCTTCAGATACCTGTAAACAAACAATATTTAAATATTAAATGTTGATATGTTCATGGCATCTTACATAGTTAAGAGTAGAATTTATAGAAGATATAGGAAACAAACCTTCCATGTGTAGGTGTCACTAAGAGACTAAGGTTGATTCTCCTTGAAGAAGGAACTGAGCTTGTAACTCTGCATTTGACAACTTGCTCAACATGATACATTGAACCCACATCAGATCCTGGATCTAGACCAAGCTCATACCTAATTCAAAGAAAGAATAGTAATTAACTAATGGGGTCATGCTGATGTCATCATTTATAGAAAAACAAAACATAATTACCATATTCCAATTAAGTAATAATTTGGGAGAAGAGCATACAAGTGTTTTCTTGTGTGTGACTGTAATTCTTTTAGACTTGATACCAAGGACACGGAAGACTAATTCAGCACTAACATGTATAGAAACAAGAATCTCAATTAAAAAAACAATAGATTGAGAAAAAAGATTCACATATAAGTATGTGACACATTACTTGGAACTTCTTTCTAGGTTTTACAATTTCAAATTCTGACATGTGACGAAGAGGACATAGTGCCTTCACACCACTATAAAATTACACAATTGCACCAAAACTATCAATAATTACGATTTTGGCCTTCACTATCATTCCAGGTTTGACATCATCGTGAGTGAAAATAGTTCCTTCAAATGCACTAGTCTGCTTAGACCAAAACATCAAAAGTCAAGATCAAGAAATCATGTTTGCTTAAGTTGCGAATAAAAAGTTCACATTTTTTAAGCAATTTTGTATAATCTACAAATACCCATATTAAAAATAATATGACTGAGATTGTAAATTGTAAAAAAGAGTGAAAGTGAACCTTTAAAATACCAGTAGCAAGGCCCTCCATGAGTCGGAATCCAAAGACTCTCACACGAACAAAGCTTCCTTCTTTGAAGTTTTTCTCCCATTTCAAAGTGAAACCACGAGATCATATCTTGCACTGAAACCACCTGATATTTCTTCAAAGTGAAACCACATGATCAAATTAATCACAATGATTGGTTGCTTTATGTAGGATCGTATCTTTGCACTGAAACCAAAGGCAAAAACCTAATTTATCACAACATTTACCATGAACGAGATATATTGAAAAACCTAGATACCTTATTTTCGGTGGCGAAAGCGCACTGAACGAGCATGGTGAACTGGCTAGCAGTGTATGCATCACGTCTCTTCTTCTGTGATATTTATTCTCTAATTCTTATGAATATCTACCGTATCTTCTACCTCTTCCCAGCGAACCTCTGTGTTGGTGTTAGGTCTCGACGACATCGATAAACCCTAGAAAGAGCAACAATAAAAAACCCTAGAAAGAGGAGAAAACCCTAGAAAGAGCAACAATAAAAAAGAAAAATGATTTCTAACGTGATATAACTATCAAGAACTGATGAAAGAGGGTACTCCACATTGTATTGCCAACAGGCTTGACGCCAACACCTGAAAGCTGGAAAAAACTTTCATCTGCAATTTGTTCTTGAACAGCTACCAATTATTTCAATTTTTTCAAATTAAAGTTTTTAGGTGAGGGTAGTGAGGCAAGAAGAGGTCCAATCGTCGGTGCTGAGGAGTCGCAGTGGTCGGTGATGAGATGTGAGCCCGAGGTCCCCAATGAGATGAGGCGAGACGAAGCTTGCCGGCGAGGCGAGGAAAGGATAATCAAGTCTTTGATTGCAAAGCACTGTGGAAGGGGTGGTATTAAGTTATCTGTGAAAAAAAGCCCTAGTTTGCTAGAAAAAAATAATGGACGCGCCTTTTCTAAAAAAATTATAAAGCGACACCTCTGTACGACACACATATTTGTTAGGTGCCCTCCGTGTTTTCTTTTTTTCTTTTTTTGACACTTATTTTAGGGCACGCAAAAATACACGTCCTAAATCCTTTAAATTTTGAGAGAGATGACATTATTTTTAGGACGCACACTTTTGCGTATCATAAATCCGTGCGTGTCATGTTTTGCGTGTCATTAAAGGGTTATTTTCTAGTAGTGTTTAGATTTAAATGATTGTTGCTACTCGTCAGAAATGGCGAGAAACATTATTTCTTTTCATGGTTTGTATAGACAAGGTTTTAGATTTTCTTTTAATAATGAAATTGGTTCTATTAATGCTTTCTTGAATGAAACTTTCTATTTTGAAGCACTGCCTTGTAATGGAGTATATGAAATTGTGAATGTTGTAGACAACTTAGGAAATAATGTGTTGCACATTGACTCGTCCAATGGTTTGGACAAAGCATGCTTGTGGCATTGTCGTCTTGGACATGTCAACAAGAAGCGCATAGCCCAACTCCAAAAGGATGGAGTGTTGGAATCATTCGACCTCAAGTCGGATGATACGTGCGAATCTTGTTTGCTTGGAAAGATGACAAAGTCACCCTTCACTGGTACTTGTGAAAGGGGTGAGGGTTTATTGGATCTTATACATACGGATGTATGTGGACCCTTTAGATCCACCACAAGGGATGCGAACCGCTTCTATGTGAGTTGTACCGATGATTATAGCAGATATGGGTATATCTACTTAATCAAGAACAAGTCAGTAACCTTTGAAAAGTTCAAAGAGTTTAAGCAAGAAGTGGAGAATCAGTTGGGCAGGAAAATTAAGATGCTCCGATCCATCGAGGAGGTGAGTACCTTAGTATTGAATTCCACGACTACCTCAAGGAATGCATAATCGTTTCGCAATTAACACCACATAGGACACCGCAGTTGAATGGTGTGGCTGAGAGGCGCAATCGAACCTTGGTGGACATGGTTCACTCCATGATGAGTCGAGATTCGTTACCTATCTCATTCTGGGGGTATGCCTTAGAGATTGCGCCCACATCCTTAATCTAGTCCCAACTAAGAAGGTTGTCAAAACACCTCACGAGATGTGGACAGGGAAATTTCCCTCGTTGGCACATATCAAGGTTTGGGGTTGCGAGGCTTTCGTAAGACGAGAGACTCATGACAAGCTCGAATCTCGTAGTGAGCGGTGTATTTTCATCGGCTATCCACAGAAGTCCTTTGGATATCTCTTCTATAGACCGAGTGACAATGTTGTCTGCGTTGCGAGTAGAGGGGTTTTCCGAGAAAGAGAACTCATATGCCAAGAGGACAGTGGGAGACAAATTGATCTTGAAGAGCTTCAAGAATCAAACGATGAAGGAACCTCTAACACTGGCGCTCAACCCGAGGAGGAAACTCCTATTGAACCGATTGACGAGTCCCTACCTCTTAGACGTTCCAGTAGAGTTAGTGTTCCACCCGTATTATATGGTTTCCATATAACTACTGAGGGTGATACGTTTATTAGTGATAGCACACTAATAAATTTGGATAAACCTAACAACTACAAGGGAGCCATGGCAGGCCCGGAGTCTGCGAAATGTAAAGAGGCTATGGACAGCGAGATTCAGTCCATATATGTCAATCAAGTTTGGACCTTGGTTGACAATGTGCCAGGTCGTAAGACGGTCGGGTGCAAATGGATCTTCAATAAGAAGACCGACATGGATGGGAAAGTACACACGTATAAGGCGCGATTGATTGCGAAAGGATTTATTTAAACTCTCGGAGTTGACTATGATGAGACCTTCCCACCAGTAGCGAAGATTAAATCTATAAGGGTTATGCTAGCCATAGTTGCATTTCATGATTATGAGAAATGGCAAATGGATGTCAAAACCATTTTCCTAAATGGGAAGTTGGCTGAAGATGTTTACATGAGTCATCCAGAGGATTTTGTCAACACAGAGAACCCTAATAGAGTGTGTAAGCTTGAGAAATCCATTTATGGATTGAAACAAGCGTCTCGCAGATGGAATCTTTGTTTCGATGAGAAAGTCAAAGAGTTTGGTTTTTCGAGAAGCGGGGATGAGTCCTGTGTATATGTCAAAGCCAGTGGGAGTATAGTTAGCTTTCTCGTTTTGTATGTGGATGACATACTGCTCATAGGAAACGACGTCCCAACCTTGCAAGAGGTTAAGTCCTGGCTTGGGAAGTGCTTCGCTATGAAGGACCTTGGAGAAACTGCTTATATTTTGGGGATAAGGATATTGAGAAATATGAGTAAAAGACTAATAGGACTTAGTCAAAGTACTTACTTGGATAAAGTGTTGAAACGTTTTAGCATGGAAAATTCCAAGAAAGGGGAGTTACCAATCCAAAGAATACCAAATTGAGTAAGACTCAGAGTCCGAGTACTGATGTCGAGATAGTAGAGATGAGCCGAGTACCTTATGCTTCCGGTGTTGGCTCAATCATGTATGCTATGACATATACTCGCCCTGATGTGGCCTTCGCTTTGAGCGTAGTCAACAGATATCAAGGGAACCCTGGTAGAGCTCACTGGACTGCGGTAAAGAACATTCTTAAGTACCTGCAGAGGACTAAATACTGGGCTCTTGTCCTCGGTGGGAGCGATGACTTAAGAGTGCGAGGGTATAGTGACGCTAGTTTTCAGACTGACCGGGATAATTTCTGATCTCATTCGGGCTGGGTCTCCACCCTGAATGGAGGAGCAGTGACATGGAAAAGTGATGTGTGTGGAATGCACTAGTTTTAATCCTACTAACTTAGACACAGAAACAAACACACGAAAGGCAGTGTACCTATCGATTAGCAGCTTAGTTCAGGTAAGTAGGGTATCGAACACAGGGAACGGTAAACAATTAAGATTATTACTAATATTATCTAAATAAAACAAGTAAAAAGAAGGGGTTTCTCTAGTTTTGCAAGACTAGAAACTTAAACAATTAAATAAGACTCAAACTAAGAAAGCAATTAAAAGAAAATAAAAACAATTAAAAAAATAATATTTATTATAAAAAAATAATAAATTTAAAGTAATAATCCAATAAAAATAATTAACGCAATAAAAAAATTAAAAACTTAATTAAATGAAATTAATAATCCAATAAAGTAATACTTACTAATAAATAAATATTATATGTTAAAAATAATATTCATTAATATATAATAATCCAATAAAAAAGAATTAATCCAATAAAGAAGAAGTTCAAAAAAATTAATTAAAAAAATTAATAATCAAATAAAGTAATATTTATATTAATATATAAATATAATATATTAAAAATAATATTTATTAATATATAATAATCCAATAAAAAATAATACAATAAGAAAGAAGTTAAAAAAGAATTAATTAAAAGAATTCAATAAAATGAAAAAGAAAAATTACATAATTGGTCCTTCTAGTTTGGTAAAAAGATAAAACTGCAGAAATGGTCACTGGGTGTAAATCTGTCATATTCCAAAAGTTAACAGCCATGCTATTAAACTTAACGAGGTAAGGACCAAAACCACAAGAAAACCACCAAATATGACCTTTTTTGCTAATAATTTTTTTGGACATTACCCAAAGAAATTGACAAACCACAAGGACCATTTTTGCAATTTAGAAATATGACATTTGTTTGAGAGAAAAAACTCTTTGTTTTTGTTAACACCTTCCATCTAATATGCAAAAGAAAAATAACATTCAAATACCTACAATATCCATATTTGAAACGCTTAGAAGGGTAAGTGCATATTTATGCCATTATGTTTCATATTTTTATGAATTTATTCAACACAAGGTTTTTGGTAGAAAAATATACAAGCATGTTCCAAATCATTTACTAAAATGTCACATTGATTATGTTAAAATTTAAACAAGCATCCAATGTTGTATAAATTAACTGCTGGTAAATCTATGATTAATGATTATGTTCTTTTATAGTTTATGTTATTTTATTTTGTCATCCGTTAATTACACGGGTTATAACCGAGTTACAAAAATATAATTAAAACAACACGTCATAGTTATCCAACTTAAAATCTATATCATATTGACCTTTTTTTAACCATATTTGCAGAAATCTTCTTTTAGCATTTTTCAATATTTTATAATCATTTTTTTCTTACATGTCTTCTTTTTTGTCTGTCGGTCATCTTCCTTGTTGCAATTGGCTATAAGCATCAGGTAGTTGTATGGATTTCATTACGAATTAAACATTCGGTGCTTGATTACAACTGATGAATAGCTTTACAAATTTAGAGATTGTGTGATTAGAAGTAACGTGGTTATTTTTTTTGGCTTTCTTTATGAAGTTGAAGAGAGGGCAGTGGATTGATTGTTTGCTTGCCTGTTTTTTT